TTTCATTGACCTTCTAGAATCCCAGCCACTGCCTAGACCTCTCTCTTTTTCATTCCTTTCATTTTCTTCATAACATGTATGATGTAACTTTGTCGGTTCTCTGTTTCCTACAATTATATGGAAACTAAATATTGAACTCAGAAACTTAGTCCATCTATATCTTTTTTTCTGACAGTTGATGTCAGGTACATGGAAAATAGCCAATAAATATCCACACAAATAAAAGCATAAATGGGTTAAATAGATTCTAATGTGGGGAATCCAAAGCCAGTGTTGAGCCAACAAAGCCAGGGCTTTTAAGAATACAAGCAAGAAAGGCCTGTATTCACATTGTCCGTGCCACAAGCAACCCAACAAATCCATAAGGCGAGTCTGCTTTGCTTGCCCTTATTTATCACTCACAGCAAGCCTTTCATCTTACGGCTCCTGTAATTTCTCTTGGACACGCTACAAAAGACACATGGAAACCTGAACTCTGTCCATGGGAACCAGCACATGGTTAACCACACTTCCACTAAAATTGCTTGGTTTTTTTGACTTGTTTAGACTGGCTATTTGTCAGTTGGTCACCCTGAGAACAGAAACTTTGCATTCAATGGTGATAGTTCTCCCTGCCTGAATCAGTGGCTGCATTTAAGTGGTTAGAGAGACATAATCTTCAACTTAAACACAGGCATCTCTGAGGGAAGAAAGGCAGGCCATGAAGGTCATTGCTCTGTGGTTGGAATCAGATACCTGGGTGCAGAGGGGAAGACTTAAGGGAGATCATGCAGAGAAGTTTAGGAGTTTAAGACAAGAGGTGGTCTGGGGCTCACATAACAATCGAGAAAGAAAGAAAAGTTTGCAGGATGGGTGAGAGAAGTATGGGTTTGCTGACAAAATCCTGTCATTCAATATTATTTAAAAATATTTTAGGTTAGGCAAGGTTTCAAGTGAAAGCCATTCATTTTTTGTTTGTTTTTATCCATCAAAATATTTAACAATAAACCTATAAAAGTGGGCTATGGAATCCTCAGTCCTAGCTGCTGTTCAAATCGTAAAGACTTCCCTTCACATTTCTATGCATCATCCAGAGTCATATATATGTTCATCTTACTGAACTAGATACGAGGAACTATGGGAACAAAGAACAGAGTACTTTTTTTGCTGGGCCTTCCTCCTGCCTCCTTCCTTCACCCGTTCCTTGCTTCCCCTTTACTTTTCTTCTCTTCCTCTCCCCATCTTTTTTCTTCTTCTATCTCCCTCCCTATCTTATAAGTTATCTTATAAGAATAAAGTTTTGTAAGAACTTTAAATGTACAGATTTGAATATAATAACATTTTTCTCTTAAGCAGAAGAGAGGATTGAGTGTAATGCAAGTAAAGAGATTTTGTTCATCAGCACCTGTGTGCATTCTCCACCCAGTGCTCTGAGGGAACAGGGGACTGAAAGACATCTGTTAGCCATCTAATAGTCATGTCTTCTTGATCTGTCTCTTAAAATTACAGTTATTAGAAACCTCTGCCATCCACTTCCTGTTGGCCAAGACACCTGTCATGAGCGCTTTACATCCAGAATCAATAGACACTGGTTTGTAGAACACACATAACTTTTCTATGCCATTCATAAAGATAGAAGGTTCAAGAGTCAAAAGTGAGGAATTCTTGTCTCTGCCACTCATGTTTCATGATCTTCAAAACGTTAATAATATCATCAACCCCATGAGACTGTTGCATGGCTGAGGCCATTTAAAGTGTGTAAGCATTAGCCAATCGATAAATGCAACCATAAGGAAGAATTAAGGAAGGTAATGATTTCTAGAGGAAGTCTTTACTAGGATTTCACAAATGGATTTCTATAGATATGTTTATTAATTAAAAGAATTCCACATGTGTCGTTAAGTAGCTTACACATATTCTATATTGGCTGTGTATCCTATTACCAGGTCTAACATTTCACTCCTTCTCAACAGCTTTGTAGTGTCAGGGTAGAAAAATGCCAAGTGCATTTGTTGTTCTAAATCGGAATGAATTTGTTCCACTTAGGATATTGGAAGAAAAACTGTGCTGTGCATTTGTAGCCTTGGTAGAGTATGTCAATGTGGGTAACAAGAGAATGAACCTCTTCTCTTTTGCCAGTGTATTAGTTTCTTTTCTTTGCCTATTACTGGGATACCATACTCTGACAAAGGCTACTAAAGGGAGAAAGGATTTGTGCTCATAGCTCAGGGTGGGAAAGTGAAGGCAGCAAGAGCTTGAAGGAACTGATCACATATCATCCACCTTCAGGGAGCAGAAAGGGATGAATGGAGATTGCTACTCACCTCCCTTTCCCTACTTACAACTCAGCGTCCTAGAGAGGAAATGGTGCCACACACAATGAACAGCACAGAAAACAATCTTCCCACAGAAAACAATCACAATAATAACACCCCCTCAGGTATGCCCAGAGGCCCGTCTTTCAGGTAAGTCTATATTTAATTAAGACAACAATGGACACTAAGAATCATGCAATCATTCAAGAACCCTATGGGGACCAAGGTGACTAAATGAGTAAAGGTACCAGTTGCCAAGCCTGATGACCGCACTTGGGACCCACATAGTGGAAAAAGAGAACCTACTTCTGCAAGTTATCCTCTGACTTCCACACATGCTTCATGGTCTATTCATGACTGCATATATGCATGTGTGCACACATACACACAAATAAACAAACGGCTAAATCTAAAAATGAATTCTGAGAGACCTGTACATTCTCTTTATCATGTTTTTAAAAGTTATCTTTTTATCTCTGGTCAACATTTGCCATCAATGACATGTTCATTGTTCAAGAACACTTATGTTCTTGGAAGTAGACATCTTTGCTTTTTTTTTTTATAACACCCTTGACTTCTAAAATTGTTGTTGAAGCTGGATATCTCCACATATCTCCAATTCTCTGTCTAGTTATATCAAGAAATCAGTATTCTTTGAGTTATTGCCACTATCCAGATCACTGAAAAGGAAGAGGCCACTGGAAGGTGTTGTGTTTATGCCACCTAGATCTATAATCTCTGCCCTCCCTCCTTGCATGGCTACTTACACATACGTGGTGGGTTTGGGTGAGAATGGCCTCCATTGGTTCAAATATTTGAATACTTGGTCCGCAGCTTGTGGAATTGTTTGGAAAGAATTAGAAGGCTTGGGTGTGACCTTGTTGGTGGAGGTGTATCACTGGAGTGGGCCTTGAGGTTTCAAAAGATTTGAGGCATTCCCAGGGCTCTTTATCTGCCTTGTAACTTGTGCCTCACGATGTGAGCTCTCAGCCACTGTTCGAGTTCCACGTCTGTCTGCCCACTTCCATGCTCCTGACCATAAGGACAGTTAAAAACTCTAAACATCTGGAAATGTAAGTCCAAAATAAGCTTTTTCTTCTACAGGTTGTCTTGGTCATGATGTCTTACCACAGCAATAGAAAAAGTTACTAACATAATATTATTTCAGAACTTATATCCTAATCTCATGAAATCATGTACCACTAAGGCAGTAAACATAGCTTCCAATCCTCACTCCCAAAACATCAATGTCTAGAGCACAAAGAAATCTATCCTTGCTTCCTCAAAAAATCCCAAGTCAAGAAAACAAAACTCTTATCTAATTTAAAATAAGAAAATTAAGTACTTATAGTTGCAAAACTTGATAAAAATCAACATTAATTTATTTTGTTTTACAGCCATCAAGCTGGCCATTGTCTTCCTATTCCATTTTTCTTTTTATTTTAGATGCTTAGTACTGTATAGTATGTTACAGGAAACATTGTATTAAAAAATCTAAGGAAACTTGACTTAAGAGTAAAAGTAGAGATTATTGAGGAATTATAAACATAAATTCCTAAAAGCTGGTCAATGAAGGTCAAGGGGAATAGCCTTGTAGACCCTCTTTCTATACAACTCATAGGGTAGTTACTTATAAAGCCTCGATGAGTAAAATGGAAAGTTATGGAGGAAGACTTTGCAACATCAACTTTGGGTCCAAATACATGTGTGCTCACATTTACTTGTACCTATACACGTGTGTGCTCCCACACATGCAAACATACACACACACAGACACAGGCAAATGAGCATTAAAATAATCTCAAGTTGGAAAGATGGCTTGGCTGATAAAGCTATTGCTTTGCAGGCCTGGGGACATGAGCTCGGATCCCTACCACACATGTAAAAAACCTGGCATGACAGCACACACCTGTAATCCCGATGCTAGGTCAGCAGGGGAAAAAGAGTTCCAGAGGTTTCCTGGATGGTCAGTCTCGCCAAATAAGTGAACTCCAGGTTCAGTGAGAGGCCCTATGTCAAAAGAATGAGGTGGAGACTAACTAAGGAAGATGCCCAACAGTGACACCCAGTCTCCACACACGCCATGTGTGCTTGCATACACACATGGGCATGTACACATGCACAAATGTTAGTTCCCCCAACATGCACACAAATGCATTCAGTTCATGCATTTAATAAAAAGATGTCAATCAAATGTCTTGCATATGGTGTCCTGCACTGGGCAATATGGGCACAAGTATAAATAAAATCTAATTGTTTTGTCTCCTGAATAAGGGAGACAATTTCACTTCAGGACTATATTCAGAGATAACTTATTATCACTATTATTATTATTTCTATATATAATGTATATCCACATACATAAATGCATGCATATATTTAGTGCATGTGACTATGTGGGTAGCCATGCTGACAATAGCCAAAGATGTCTATTGCCTCCCTCTGTCATTCATGCCTGATTGCCATGAGACAGAGTTTCTCAATGAAGCTCTTTCAGGTAGGCTGGGTGGCAAGAGAGCTCCTGGGATCCACCTCCATGTACAAGTTCTGCCCAGCATTGGGGTTACAGGAAAGTGCAGTCACACCTAGCTTGTGACCTGGGTGCTGGAGATTTGAACTCATGGCCTCATACGTGCACAGGGAGTACTTAAACCATTCTTCCAGATTTCCTCTTAGTAGATTATTACACTTATTGTGTTTTTACAGGTGAGTCTGCACGCAAGTGTACACAGGTGTTCACACAGAGGCATAGATGTGGAGGTCAGAGGCAACATGCGGGAGCGGTTCTGTCCTTCAGCCATGTGGGTCCCAGGGATAAAACTCAGGTAAGAGCTCTTATCCTGCAAGCTGTCTTGCCCAGCCCTGCTCTTGACAGGACCTTGTTATGCGGCTCAGGCTGCCCAACAAACCGTGATGGCTCCATGTCTCATCAGAAACCCTATTTATTATGTATTTTGTTCCCCTGATGCGTTGAATTTCCACCACATGGGGTCTTCTCTAGTTACCAGGTTTGCCTTTCTCATAAAATAATTTCCTGGGCAGATGCAGGATGTAGTAAACATTTGGTCTGTCTGCTTAGAGCTGTTCTCCCAAATCAAGCACTGTGATGCACCATAGGTATACGCCACTGACGTCTGCTCTGAGAAAGATGGAGACCCAAGGATCAGAAAATAACTGTGTCCATGTCTCCCTTTCCTTCTCTAAATACTTGGAAAGTTCACGTTTCACTTGCTATTTTAGCCTTAGACAGAGCTGACCAAACTTTGACAGAAGCAAGGCGATAAGATCCCTTCACTTCCTCCAGATGGTGAGGCTATGGCCTGGCAGTGGCTTCTGGGTGTGCTGATTCACTGAGAGCATCAAGGAGCAGTGACAGTCGTGGAGGAGGAGAAGAAAAAGAAAGGGAGGAAGTGGTGGGGGGAGGGAGAGACAACAGTGACTGCTCTGGCCTGCTTCTGAAATGAAGGCATAGTTTTGTTTTATAGTCTGCTTAAAGAAATTTCAGAAAGAACTCCAGAATAAATGTAAGTGCACACACACACTGAGCAACCAAGGAGCATTTTCTCAGACTGTGTTTCCTGAGGAAAATTTGAAATTTTTTGCTTCTGGCCAGACTGGCCTCTATCCCTGCCCATCTAACTTTGCCAAAGCTTTGATCCTAAAGAAACACCTCTGTATTTCAAGTCCAAACCCACAATAGCAGACCCTGAGGTAGATGGATTTCACATTTGTGATATTCCTAGTTCGCACGGACTTTCCCAAACCACACTCTCTGGGCATGAGGTGCACACCTCACGTCTACCCCCATCTTCCAACTTTGGCCAAAATTTCCATCACACACACCATACGCTATCTTCTTTTCCCCTTCAGTCAAACTTCCTGTCTATTAACCGTGCTGCAAGAGTTTCTAAGATTTCAACTCTTTCCTGTAAGTATTTCCCTCTGAAATCAGAACCAAGATAGAATTATCTTCCATACTTGGAATTTGAAGATGAAGCCCCCACCTGCACTCATACCCCAAATGACAACTCCAACACACTGGGTTCAGGTGTTGCCTCAAACAGTTTTGAAAGAACTTTGCATTTCTTGGTGTGAAATTGTCTACTTATTTTCTAAAGAGCAAAAGCAGGTTAGGCAGAAAGATCCATGCCTGACACCCCACAGTGGTATGCAAGAGGCAGGACATGGGAGAACCTGCTGATTCTCCAAGAATGATTGATGGACCCTGCACCCAGAGCTTCCTTGCTGTGTGGACTTCAAATAAAATCTGGCTTCTACGGTATTTTAGTGGTTACTCCCTTTATGACCATGGATTTCTTTTTGTTCTTGGTCTGAGATGGATGTTAAAATAGTTTGAAAATACTTCTTCTATTCTAATACTTAGCCCTTCCATTCAGATATGTTTTCCCTCCCCCACACACGAACAAGACATACATCGTGAACAGAGCCTGGAGGGAAGGGACCTTTCTGCTTTCATCTGACCTGAGATGCATTTGCTGTCATTTATGATCCACAACAACCTTGCCTGACTGTAATTTACTCTCTGTAAGACTAAGTTCTGAATGTATGTCCTCAGCTTGTACTCGCAAGCTGAGCTGAGGACACAGTCCACATATTGTTTCTGCCCCTTTTCCCCGAAGTGTATTCAATTTAAACATGAAAATGAAGTCAAGGAGTGTATTTATTTTTGTAATAAACACTAAGGATTTAAATTTTTATCTGTTCCCTTCTTCCCTTCTTTCTTTCTTTAATTACATTTCTCACTGCTTTTTAAAGATTATTTTTGTTTTGTTTTTCCTCAGCTTTATGTTGGAGAAGAGGAGTAAGGTGGAACCTAAGAGTTTAGCATTGCCTCAGAGATTCTTTCGAATCATATGAGTTCCCTCTCCTTACATTTTCCTTACATTAAAGTGGTTAGTTATTTCATTATTAGTCACTGGAATATTTTTTTTGAATGGAAACAAACCGTGTGATTCCTCAGAGGAATATGAAAATTGTTACCAGCATAAGCAGCCTGTGAAAAACATGGGTAAAAACCCAAGTGTCCAAAGGAAAATTTCTAAGAAGCTCCTTTTAAAAAATTGTTAAATACAGTGATTGACTTTAGGATATTTATTCCCTTTCATCTCTTGAGATCGTTTCTGTTCAATGATATTCAAAAATAAATGTTGGTTTCTTTTTTCACAATGTTTAGGCTGAAAACCAAGCAAGATAAATACTTACAATTCCTCCTAACCTAAAATGGAAACAAACATTTGACATTTTAAATTCCAGGCACCTTCTCTACCCAGATAATTTAGCATAAACAGGATCAACGGTGTTGTGCTTCTCAGAAACATGCTGTTTATCCTGCTGTGAGAGTCATTGACACCAATACAGAAGCAGCTATGGTGCAGAATAGACCACCTTACAATGGGATGCTGTTGCATTGTGACTTGTTCACACTGTCCTCTAGGACTAGACAATAGGCGGCCTTAAGCACTGGCGCAAAGGGCAGCTTTGGAGAAGAGGACAACAGGTGAGAACAGTGTGGCTCTGGGAGTAGCTGGGCTTTACAGGCAGAAACACTTTTCAAACCTTAATGGACGCTCTCAGGTGATTCTTCTCAAAGCTGAACCAACATAAATGTGATGTAATACTGTAACCATTTCCCGAAACCGACAGATTGGCAGAAATAAATGTCATTTCATTCTTCTGATATGATTTTTTGTTTTCAGCAATGTTGAATCATCTTTTTCTCTACCCTATTGACTATGTGTCTCTTTTAAAATGAACTGCTAATCACCTTCTTTTGACCATGATCATATATATATATATATATATATATATATATATATATATATATTTACCCCTAGCGTCATCTCCTGATTCATGGAACCTTTTTCTGTTAAATATAGCAATTCATCTTTCTTCCTCTGAATTTTATTTATGATATTTTTACAACGAACCAAAGTTTTGCACTGTCTACAGCTAAATCCCCAGCAGTTCTTTTTTTTTTCTTTCCTCCTTTTATGGAAGACCTCAACAATTTTGAGGAAATTAAGTCAACTTTGCATAAGTCAGACTTAAGGGGTGTAAGAACTCTTGTAGGATTTCCATGTGTCTCTACACACATGACGCTTACTATCAAACTGCTTCCATGGACCAGCGTTTTTTCCAGAGTTTTAGCCAGGAGGCTGTGCTATTTCATATGAATAAATTCAGTCTTTCCAATTTTTGAAAAAAATAGACTTAATGGAATATCTTCCAATTCTAAGGTTTCCTACCACATTTTTTCCCTCAAAGGTTTGGTGCTGCTGTTCATTGACTTTATTAGAATCTAATAAAACCTGGTGTCATATTATATATTCTGTTATTTTAAATTTAATATGTCAATATTAAGCAGTGTTGTGCAAAGATCTCTATTACTTCCAGATGTTCTACCAACTGACAAGTTCAAGGATCTCTGGTGCATGTTATGTTTGCCACAGTGAAAACTAATAGGAGATAATGTTCAAGACAGAAAATGAGATCAGCGAAGACTGAGAGTTCTATCCTAAGCACCACTCACACGTTGCTTTCATTAATGCCCCATCCTTCAGTTGTAAGCACCGCTGATGCCTGTGTCCTGTGTGTAGGACGGCCACACTTTGCAAAGGCAAAGGTCTCCTGCCACAAAATTATTATTCTTTACATTAGATACATAGAAGGGAAAAGGAATCTTATTTATTTATCTTGGTCATGTTTTAAATGCATCCAAAGGCAGGCTTTATTGTTGCATTGGGTTTGTGAAGAACACATATAAAGTCACCCGCCGGCTGGCCCACAAAAGAGACTTTGAAACTGTGTGCTATAAAATACATGCTTTGCCTAACTCAGTAGCCAGTTTACTCAACAGGTCATTAAAAGCCAATTCAGAGGATCTCTCATGCGATTAGGTCCACAACAGGTACTTTGCTGGTGATCCTAGAAGAAGAAAACAAAACAAAACTAAACAAAAATAAAATAAAGTTTACAAAGAGCAGAAAGCTCACTCCTGAAACCCAGATTTCCTACAACACTAATACTCCTATGGAGAACAGGTAACGTGATAAAACGGTCCCACTTCCAATCCCCCAGCCCAAATCCAGTACCCCTCCTGCCCTCCAAGTATCAATCATCGGCCCAGCCAGGCAAATGAACTTTTAATCAATAACAGCTACTGTTTCTTGTACCAAGACTGTTTATGATTTAAAAGGGGGGGAACTAAATCAATCCTGATGTGAATGTTTTCCCTCTTGAAGAGAAAAAGTAACACCCAGTGTAAAGACAAGGGGTGTGACAATATATGTGTGTTTGTGTGTACATACACACATATATAGGGATATATATGTATATTTGAATTTTTGTTCACTTTGACTTTATTAATAACAATAACATAAAAATAACATTGGCTCCATGGACTGATGAGTCATGTCAGCCAAGTGCTTTCAATCTTTGTCTCCATGCCATTCTAATTCCTGTTTACATTCATACGTTGGCATAGACAACTAGAAGTACAGGACAATTTAGGAACATCTGCTGAGAGACAGCAGCTGTGTTGGGAGAGTCTGCAGCTGTTCAGATGTAGGTATGAAGGATTAATCAGCTTCAGTGTAGGAGAAACAACAGAGGGACGTGTAGACTATGTTGTAGATGAGTCTGATCATATATGCCACACTGGCGATGTTAGTGTGTCAACCCCACAAAAGCATTTCTACTCTAGTTGGAAATTCTTGCCCCTTTCTCTATCCATTTTCCAAAGGTAGCCCTTTCAAGGTAAGCCATTCAAGGCTGGAGTTCTGCCAATAAACACCGTACCAGACCTTTAAGCCCCCGGGAACTCTGATTCTGTTCTGTGTGTCTTCCATTCTTCTAGGCTTCATCATCCATGACCTTCGGACTCATTAAATCCAAATAACACTAGTGGTTGGTCTTGCCGCATCTTGAGTCTCCCTCTAGCCAGGGACAAATCAAATTGGACTTCTTATGAAAGCTGGCTGCATTACTTTGGCATGTTTGCACAAAACCAGAAATAACTTCCCTGAAGATTACTGAAATGAAATCATCCTTCACCTAATTGAGAAGAACGACACAGGCTTATGCCCAATTTTAAAGAGTAATATGATTGGGGGAACGATGATGGGAGTGATTTCTTGACTGTTCTCTTTTACAGTTTGTTGAAATGGAACAAATCAATCCTGTCCCGATTATTTATAAAACCTTAACACCAATGGGGTGGGGTGAACTAATGAAACCAGGCGCAAGGGATGTGGAAACTTCCATTTCTAAACTGCTGGTACACAGACACATATTAGTGTCTTGTAGCTTTTAAGCATCGAAGAAACGCATTTTCTACCTCCAACAAACTGTTGGTGAATCTCAAGCCTTTGCACATAATTACTCATCACTATAGCTGGCAGCCAGGCAAAGGGGCTGCAAGCAGCCTGTGGTTTCGAAGAACCATAAAGACACTGGTATCTAGATTAAGGGGACTATCTCCTTATGCCCCAAGGTTGTTAAGTGTTAAGGGGAAGCTGTTATGGTTTCTCTTTGCAGAAATTCTGTGTTTTAATCTCGATTAAAAGAGGGCAACATTCGACCTATTACCCACACTCTGATGTTGCTCTCATTGTAAGACACATGGGTGTCTCTGGAAAGGTCTTCTCTAACTGGTGCCTTCTCGTCTCCTACAATGCTCACACATGTCTCAGACAAAGAGTAAACCATGTTCTTTCGATGCCCCACCTCCGTCCTCTGAAACTCCAATGATGCCCATCATTCTCACCCTTTAGTTTTCACTACTTGGACAGAAGTTCAGCTGTTCAAGTGGCAAGAACTCAGAGATCCTAAATTGGTTGACAGCCCTCGGATTAGGAGAAGAAATTCATGAGGCTCATCAGTAACAAGCATGTGGGATTTCTTTTGCAGAGTTTCATGAGAATGGACCTCCATAATGGTGCTTAATGAGTAACTTGAGGTCAAATAGTTTACACAAAGTACAGTCCTACAAAGGGTCTTTATTTGAGCTGAAGCTGTCCTGCCCGCCTTTATGGAGTGAACACTCATGAAATACATTTCTCCTATGGGAGCTCCTAACTGGATGATTTGTAGTCTATCATGAAATTATTTTAAGCTCCCCAAGTGCACAATGGTAGCAGATCAAAGACAAGAGAAACTTATCTGAATATTGCCAAGTCCGTTGATTCCCCTCAATAGTCATATTTTCCAAAACACCACTCCTGGCATGTAGACTACAGATGGACTCCTGGAGTTTCCAAAGTGTAGTGAGTTGAGATGAATGACATGCATTGAAAGAGATAACATAGGTGAGTTTTTTCAATATATAGAAGTACGAGTAGAAACAAAATCTTCTCCAAGCTTTGAGTAAAGCAAATACCGTGAGTCATCCAAAAGCTTAAGATTGACCAGTTCCCCAGCAGCCTCATTCTGCCGGAGAAAAGCACATGGTGTTCAGCAGTGCCATGAATGTACAATGTCTCCAGTCATAGTTGATAACTGAGAAAGCATAAAATGTTACTATCCTGCTACAAGTTTATTTGAAAATAAAATTTCATGTCTTCCAAAATGATAATAGATTAGATTTATCTGGTGTTACTGTGTTCTTGCGGTTGTTTGCAATAGAGTTGAGCAGGTTTAAAGAAGGGCGAGTGCCTACTAAAAAACATAAGGCTACTTTAATTGGCAATAGTACATGATGAAAATGAAAGTCACTTTTGATCTCTTTCTCTCTTGCCTTTTCCCCTTCTTCTCCTTCTTCTCCTTCTCCTTCTCCCTCTCCCTCCCTCTCCCTCTCCCTGTCCCTCTCCCTCTCCTTCTCCCTCTCTCTCTCTCTCTCTCTCTCTCTCTCTCTTTCTCTCTCTCTCTCTCTCTCTCACTCATTGGTCTTCTTTTATCTTCCATTATCCCTACTGGCATAACTTCAAGATTTATCAGCTAAGCTAAAGATGAGATAGAATTGTATCAAGAATTTGTTCCTGGTCCAGTAAGAGGGTCACCCATGCTCAAAGAACTGTAGCTTGCTCAATAAGACTAGGAATTTAAAATGTTAATCCTGAAGGATTAACATATATCTGTTATGTATACAGATAGTGTATATCTGATATACATCAGATATCAGCTATGAATATAAATACTTAGATAATAAAATATAAAGTATACTATTTTTAAATCCCCATACTTTTGATAAATAAATTTAAATGAAATTTCAATATGGGCACATACTATCTATATATTTTACTGATATTGTGTAATACAATTCTATTTGGTAATAGCCTTTAACTACACACACTTCCATCCAACTAAATATCCACTAAAATTCTGTTACTTAATAGGCTATGAAATGACTACTAAAGGAAAGCATTATAATTTCTTAGCTATAATTAAATTATACAATGTTTCTCATTTAATTTTTCACTTAAAAACAAAGTTACATTAGACAACTTTGTAGCCAAGACAATCTGTGTTTGTGTATTTTTCCTTAGGATGCATTTCAACATCTGGAATTACTGAATCAGAAAGGAGTGTAAAGTCAAATCCTCTGAAGAACACCGCCACTGCCAGCCCTCGAAATTCTTCATTTGATACTCGAGTTGCTGAGGCCGGCCTGTTTCACTTAATATGATTCTGTACATTTTCCTTCAAACAAAATGATTTCAATATTCTTTATGACTAAATAAGACTTGATTACATATTTATACACGCCATGTTTACCACGTGCTTGTCATCAGTGTATCTGGTAATCGACACCTGAGCTGTTTGTGAAAAGCACGGTGGTAAACACAGATATTTGGGTGTTTCTGTAGAAACTTGTCTTTGATTCAGAAGTTTATATACTCAGAAGTAATACAGCTGGACCATAGAGTAATTGCATTTTTTTAAAATTGATTTTTATTGAGCTCTACATTTTTCCCTGTTCCCCTCCCTGCCTCTCCCCTCCCATTCAACCCTCTCCCATGGTCCTCATGCTCCCAATTTACTCTGGAGATCTTGTCTTTTTCTACTTCCAACGTAGATTAGATCCATGTGTTTCTCTCTTTGAGTCCTCATTGTTGTCTAGGTTCTCTGGGACTGTAATTTGTGGGCTGATTTTCTTTGCTTTATGTTTAAAAAACACTTATGATGAGTACATGGGATAATTGTCTTTCTGGGTCTGAGTTACCTCACTTAATATGATGTTTTCTAGCTCCATCCATTTTCCTGCAAATTTCAAGATATTGCTATTTTTTTCTGCTGTGTAGTAATCCATTGTGCAAATGTATCATATTTTCCTTATCCATTCTTTGGTCAATGGGCTTTTAGGTTGCCTCCAGGTTCTGGCTATAACAAACAAAGCTGCTATGAACACAGTTGAGCACATGTCCTTGTGGCACAATAGAGCATTCGTTGGATATATACCCAAAAGTGGTATTACTGGGTCTTGAGGAAGGTTGTTTCCTTATTTTCTGAGAAATCACCATACTGATATCCAAAGGGGCTGTACCAGCTTGCACTCCCACCAGCAATGCAGAAGTGTTCCCTTTACCCCACAACCTCTCCAGCATAAGTTGTCATCAATGTTTTTGATCTTGGACATTCTTATAGGTGTAAGATGGAATCCCAGAGTTGTTTTGATTTGAATTTCTCTGATTACTAAGAATGTTGAGCATTTCTTTAAGTGTCTTTCAGCCATTTTAGATTTCTCTGCACTCATAATTTAGCATCATAGCCATTGGAAAGTTGGGAAGATTTGGTAAAATGGATGTAGAGTGCTTACCAAGCTTGAAAACATTCCGCAGTTCATTTCCTTCCAACAGATTACAGATGTTGGGAATATTTTTCTAGACAACAGAACTCAGTTTCCTGAGGATACTCAAGTCTTCCCTACAACCAAGGAGCTTCTCCAGGTGTGCTGAAGAAGAGAAGAGAAAATTTTTAAACATTCAAAATAGAAGGGATACAGCTGAGTGCTGGATAATGCAGGAGGATGGCTTATTTTTTATTTATTATGTGGTTTATAAGCTATTAGAAGACAAGATTTCAGTATCTCCCAACATTAAAAAAATGATAAATACCTATGAAAATGGACTGCTACTTGTCCTGATTCGATCATTACATGGTGTACATTGCATTATCCTGCTGTGCCATATAAAAATATTCAATTATATAACTTCTTTCAAAATTAAAAAAAATATGAACACAAAGTGATTCTTACCTTCATTGTGGCTCTTAGGTACATTATACAGCAGCAGAAGAGGTTGAAATGCTCTAAGAGGAAGTGGAGATGGGAATGCCACCTATAGACACAGATTGGAGACAAATATCAGCAATATCACATCTGAAATAGACAGAAAATATCATGCAAAAGCAGCCAGATAATCGTCAGATTATCTTAGGGAGCCAAAGCATAGATTCTCTTTATGACTTGACTCAACTTCAGAAGACATGTTCCAGGTGACGTTTCGCTGAGCATATAACAGAACTTGGTGACTGAATTGATAAAAGGGAAGGTTTAAAGCAAGTGTTCAGTTTACAGACTGTGACATTACAAAAATATTTGTATTTTAAAAGTATAGGCAGTCCTCATTAGTAGTGGATTCTGTGCTTATTTGCTGCAGCTAGTTTGTAATTCCCAAATCCATATCTGTAATGGACCATGGCAGCATTCTGATCTGTGTGTCCTTCTCAGAGATTATTAAATAGCACGCTTGAAATTCAATGCTTTTAATGAGGAGTTCGGGAGTAAAATACCCATGATAGGCTGGGTGGTGGTGGCACATGCCTTTAATCCCAGCACTTGGGGGGCAGAGGCAGGTGGGTCTCTGTGAGTTCGAGGCCAGCCTGGTCTACAAGAGCTAGGTCCAGGACAGGCTCCAAAGCTACAGAGAAACCCAGCTTTGGAAAACCCAAACAAAACAAAACAAATCCCCATGATAGATAAGCGTCATTCATGTATCTATGACTGTGGTCATGAGTTCAACTTTAATAAATCAAAGAACTTAGTAATTCAATTGTTTTTTAAAACAAAGAAGACATAAAATACAGTTGTGTATTGATCAGTTAATGAGAACAAGCTCAGAGGCATGTAGGAACCTGTTGTAGGAGGAAGCTTGTGAGTTCCCGGCTGCTCAGCCTGGAAATAATTAAACAGAAACCATATTATTTGCAATACTGTTTGGCCAATAGCTTAAGCTTATTTATGGCTAGCTCTTATATCCTAAACTAGCTCATCTCCATTAATCTGTGTATTGCCACATGGCTGTGGCTTACTGGCAAAATTTCGACCAGCCTCTGTCTCTGGTGGGGCTACATGGCTTCTTGCCGACTCCCACTCCTTTCTCCCAGCATTCAGTTTAGTTTTCCCTGCCTTGTTCTACCCTGCCCTCTCAGCAGACCAAGACAGTTTCTTTATTCACCAATGGTATTCTCATCACAGAGGGAAATCGCACATCAGGAACCTAGTCCTCTATTTCCCCTACAAGAAATGGTTTAGTGTTTACTAATTCAATCTTGATAGCTGTCTTCTTTATTGCTCTTCCTGTTTTTCTTTCACTAGGAAAATTGCTATTATGGTTTCAATATTTTATGTCCACCACAGATACATGTTCTTGAATGCTTGATTCCCAGGTAGTGGCACTGTTTACAAAGATTCTAGAACTGATTTGTGGCCTAGCTAAAAGTCACAGGCTTTGAAGGTTAGATCCACCTTAGGTTCTGACAAAACATCTCTGACTCCTCATCGGTCAAGATGTGAGGATTGTCTTCCACATGCTCCAGGTGCCACGGACTTGCTCCTGCCTTCCGTTCTATGACAGATGGAAACCATGAAGTGAAATAAATTCCTCTGATAGGTGGCTTTATTAGATATTTTGTCACAGTCAGGAGTAAAGAAACCGCAATGGCTAGCTTTCACACCAACTCTCAAAGGAGGATTGTCTAGATTAAGTTGCCCTGAGGGCATGTCTGTGAGGGGATTATCTTGACTGATAGTTAACTGGACTGGGAGGACTCACCCATGATAGGTGGCACTGTTTCTGGGCAAGGTCTGCCTGGATGTATGACAGTGGAGAAAACATCTTATTTTCTTTAATTAAAAAATTCCTTTTCATTTTACATACTAGCCCCAGTTCCTCCTTCATCCTCTTTTCCTGCCTCCCCACTCCCCATCCCACCTGCAATCCACTTTTCAGAGGGGTCAGGCGTCCCTTGGGGAGTCAACAGAGAAAGCAGTCTAAGTACCGGAAGGCACACATTAATTCTTAATTCGTTGTTCTCTGCTCTTCACTGTGGATGTGGCGTGACTTGCTGCTTTAAGTTCCTGCTACCTCAGTTCTCTGCAGTGATGGACTGGAACTTGGAATTCTGTGCCAAATAAGCCTTCCCACCCCCCTTTAGCTGTTTTACAATAGTATTTTATCACGGCAGGAGGCAAAAGATCTAAGATAATAATACACAACATTGAGCCTGTGAAGTACAGCTTTTGCTGGGTATTTTGTCACAGATGATAGAACAAAAGAGAGTTTTACTGATAATTTAATTCAACTCCATAATTTTGCATATGTAAAATGAACTGTACATGGCTTATGGTTTTGCTCTACATCTAGATGTGTTTGTTGGCTTGCAGATATTAAGTTGCTGGACTGTGTCCCAGATACAAGAGTTTAAAGAAAAAGGTATCTTTTGCTTCATGTTTGCAGGTGGGAACGTGCTATGACAAAGGACCCCTATCAGGACTAAATGAGATCAATCCATGTAATGATATTTTTGTTCTTTTAAAATATTTACAATCATCGTAAGTATGTCTTACTTAGACAAGTAAGGCAACAAAGCTCCCTTCTTTAATATAATTTTTCTTAATGTCCCAAGGATTCTGCGGAACTGAATCTTAAATTAAGGCAAATAGGAGAAATGTGGTAAACTTAGACAAAATTAGGTCATTAAGAGAAATATGAGTTGTGTGATAAACTATTCAGAGAAGCATAAAAGTGTGTGAACTAAATAATAGTATCAAATTCAATGAACACTCACAAATCTGTTTAGTGTAAAATGTACTGCTCATGTGCCAATTTTTAATCTCTCAAGGACTGTATTATGGTAACACTGTTATAATTTCAATTTCATTCTTATTTCCAGTTAGGAAATAGTGAAAGAACAGCAATGCACAGAACCATAGGCAGAATCTGTCCTAAACAGTCTTTTTTTTTAATCGCTAATTTTTTGGGGGGGGACATTCTTATTTGCCCTGCAATGTGTTTTTTAAAAAATAATTTCTAGAAACACTAAGAGTAAACACTTCAAATGGTATATCAGTACACAGCTCATTGTCTAAGGATGGAAATCCAAGGTCTAGCTTTTGGGGTCAGAGCAGAAAGCCAGTTCAACCTTATCTACCCCCAGTGATGGGGGCACTGGTTCGGTGGCCCCAGAATAATCAACCAATGTACTTGTAATATGGATGGAAATAAAATCCCTCAACTTGTAGGACGTTGAAAGACTTGGCGCTAAGTTCAGATCTTCATTAATGTGAAGCTTTGTTTAACACTTGCACAACTTCTCAAATAGTGTTAATTATCAATTACCCTTGGCAGTGCTTTGTTAATGTATTTTATTCTTCTGAGAAATGGGGGACGCTTACCATAAGCAAAACTGATATGGACTGCTGCAGGCATTGTCTTGTTCGTTTGTCTTAGAAAACCATCAAAATGAGTAGTTTTAGCTTTAATTCATGGGTAAAGAGATAGAGACAGAGATCCTGCAGCTAACTAGTAGAGCAGTGTTCATACACAAAGGCATCAGGATGTAATATTTATATTTCATCCACTTTTCACTATCAGCTCAGATTTGAAATGTCTCCTAAAGATGCAATGTTAAAGGTGTAGTCCCAAGCCCTAGTACTATTGGAAGGAAGGGCCCACTTAAACGAATGAAAATTCTAGTAGAAACTCTCTCCTCTCTCTCCTCTCTCTCCTCTCTCTCTCCTCTCTCTCTCTCTCTCTCTCTCTCTCTCTCTCTTTCTCTCTCTCCTCTTCTTCCCCCCTCAGCATTTTCTCTCACTTTCTCCTACTTCCTAGTCATTTGTGTTCAAGCATCATTTTTTTGTTCAAGCATCCTTCCTTCCCAAATGGTCCTAACAGTCTGTTGTCTTGCTATTATCTCAAGAACAATGGGGCCAACATACATGGACTAAAATCTCCAAAGACACAAACTAAAGAAACTTTGCCTGTAAGTTGATCATCTTTGATTACTTGAGCTATTTTTATTGCAGAACCAGAAATCTCTCTAAAATATTCCCATACATGTGTTTTCCATGTGAGAATCCATACCTCACTTTTCATTTTCTTAGTCATAGGCCGTGTGTATCAGAATCACCTGGGACACTTAATGATGCCAACTCCTGGATTCCATCCCTGAACTGTGGGTCAGAATATTGGTGAATGAGGTTCCAGAATCTACTTGGTTAATGAGATTTTCAAGTAACAAACTTCTCATGCACTTTGGAAGTTAAGACACATTGATCTATGTATTCATATACTTCAAAAGGAGTGGAGAAAAATAGAATATCATAAAACTTACATAGGAGATATTGGTGTTTATAGCAGGTGTTTTCAGTGAATGGCCTGCCCATATACCTTGAGCCATGATCATGTTATTCAAGATATGCAGCTTCAAGTGTTGGTTTCTGCATGCCTTAGATGGAACTCTATTTACACATATAGTGAAAGTAGCAGAAAACTGCTTCTATCATAAACATGTCTTCCATGATTGATAACCAATGACTGATTAGAAATAGTGTGCAAATCTTCCAGTACTTTTACTACTTGAGCAGGTGATTCTGTGGTTTGGTATTATGTATTGTAATATCTCTGAATAATATTCAGAGACCCCCATAATATTTCATCCCAGTTGTTTTGCTGGTGGTTACCTTAGGATGTCACCAATTCCTCTCTGTCCTCTTCTTCTTTCTCACTCTTCTGTTTTCATCCCAGGCTCCACACTTGCCCATTATCTCTAGCCTGCCTCTCAATCCTTGTCTCTGCATCTGCTTCTAGGGCCAGAAACCAGAACACATTCAACTAAACACCCTCCGACGGCAGCATTTACTTCTATATGTAAGGTTACCAGGAGACGTTGTGGAGGGAAATTAAAACATTCCATTCTCCCGAGGAGGGCAGGAATGCCAGGAAAGTTAAGGACCTGAGGGTAAGAGAGATGTTTGCAGAGCACCTTGCTGGTTATGGAGACCAGAGAAAGACTGGGACCTGGCCAGAAGCATTCCTCAAACCAATATTTTTGTGAA